CATTGAATATGTTGAACGACGAACGAGTGGACCAGCGAATGGCAAGCGGAAATACAAATTCGCATTTTCAATTATTTTGGTATTTTTACACTCATATTTTATTTTTACAATTATTTTTACAGCTATTTTACGCCTTATGTAAAAGTCATACGTAACGACGTCATCGGTGATTATGGCTGAAAAATATTTGCGACGCGAACAAATCACAATTCACAAGAACGCAAATTTTTTTTTCGACATTTTCGCTTTGGGTTTGACGATTGAAAAGTACGCTGAAAAATTATAGAAATAATTTGAAAAAAATTTATTTATTTTTCTACAGACATTTGTATGTACCTGTGTATATTTGAATTTGTATAAAATAAAATTTTATATTCGAAATTTTGTGTTTTTTTTTTTTGGGCGAACAGAAAATATGCGAAAATTCATGAAGAGCATTAAAATGCGAATTTTGTTGGCAAATTCTCTAGATTTTAAAATTTTTCGATTTTTGATTTTTTCCTTTAAAAATAATAAGAAAATATAGAAATGAGAAAAATAAATAGCTTCATAATACAAAATATAGGCGTATACATAGTTTGGCTTGAAAAGGCCAAATATGCTATTTGTTGATTTAGAATAAATCAAAATAAAAATTAAATAATAAAATATTAAAAATTAATTCAAGAAAAGAGAAGATAAAAACAAAAAAAAAATGAGAAACTTGTTTAAATAAAATATTTAGATTTTAAATATAAAAAAATAAAAAAAGACAAAATATTAAAAATAATACTTTATTTTAAAATATTATAAGTTAAAACAAAATAATATTAAACTCAAAATCAACCCAAATTTAAAATAATATGAATAAATTAAACAAAGAATCATAAAAAATTAAACGAAAAAAAAAAATTTAAAATTAAATCGATACCAAAAAATATTATATATATTTAAATATTATAAAACACAAATAAAATGTTTAGACTAAAAGAAAAAAAAATTTAAAAAAAATTTAAATTTTGAAACTCTATAGCAAAACATTAAACATACAATAAATTAAATAAGAAAAAAATTTTAATTTATTTAATGAAATTAAATATATTTTATAAAAAAGAATTTAAATTAAAAAAAAATGTGAATAAATTAAATAATTGATATTAAATAGAAGTTTTAAATTTATTAAAATAAACAAAAGGAAAACAAAAAAAGGTAAGTATAATAAAAAATAAGGAATGAGATAAAAATACAAATAAAAAATTATTTCAAAATTAAAATTAAAAAAAAAAACGAAGAAAATAATAGTTTAGAATTAAATTAAATATAAAAAGAAAATTAAAAAATAATTTTAAATACCAAAATGATGTAAAAACATACGAGATACAATTTGTAATATAAGAAACATCAAAATAATTAAAAATTAAATAAAATTGTGAAAATTAGCATAAATCAAAAATTTAAGAAGTTAAAAATTAAAAAAAAAATCAGCTAATATAATTAAGAAACTAAAAAAGATAAATAATTAAAATTTGTTAAAACAATTTTAAAAAATATATGAAATAATAAAATTTAAAATATTTCAAAAATATATTGAAAAGAACGCCCTATTGATAAATAAAAGGAAGCAAAGCTTTGTAAATACATATATACGCCCATTTCTATCAATGAACTTTACGCTATTGAAAATTTTCACATTTGGCATAAAAAAATAGTCAGCTTACATACATACATATTTACAGTGCCATCCGCGTCGCATATTTTTGCAAATATTTAGACTTTTCTGCGACGATTTGAACGTCATGCAATTAAAAGCAGCTATTTTTGAGTGATTTGTATTTTGAAGGATCATTTGCGATTTTTACAAATAAATATTTAATTTACAAATGGATTTGTGTATTTCTATTTGTAATTAAAAATAGGTAAATATTTTTTTTTAAATAAATAAAATGAAAAATATATTAAATAAATTTTTTTTTCTGGTAAAAACTGTAAGCAAATTGTCAGAATAAAAATGAAAAAGTTTTAATAAATTCTTTTTAAATATTTTGTTTCTTAATTTTTTTTATTGTAAATGACATAAGCTGCTATAAAAATAACAGAATAACAAGTTAAGAAAAAATAAAACAAGATAAAATTATTCTTAAAAACTTTTCTCAATTTATTATTATTTTTTTATTAGATTTTTCAATTAAATTTTATATATTTTTTTATTGCAAACGGCGTTAATTGCTAAAAAAACAAGCAAGGAAATAAAAAACAAAATAAAAAATTAAGAAAAAAATGAAACAAGAAAAAAAAATTTTGAAAGAAAATGTGCAAATTTTAAAAAATTTCAATTTTTATTTATTTTTGTATAAGGTTTTGTACATTTTTTATTAATTTTTTGAACAAATATTTTTTTTATTTAAAACCCATAAATTTCAAAACGATTAAAAATAATATTTTTTTTTTTCAGAGCAGTAATACCGGCAGCAGCGTAGAATGCGGAAGCTTAGCATTGCTTTTGAGTACAGAAAAAAATTTCACGGAAAATGTTGGTAAAACGAATAACCAAAAGTCATAACTCTCTCCACAAGGATTAAAGTGGTTAAGATGTCATATTTTAAAGTAAAACCATGCATGGATTTGATGCGGCTACAATGTGAGTGCATGCGACTGCGGAAGAAAAAAAGATTGGAAAGAATTAAATTTTATGATGGCACAAAAATAAATCAGCGGAGGATAAGTTCAAGGATTTTTTCCCCAAAAAGATAAAATTGAAATAAAAGGGGGGGGGGGTGTTTGCGCAATATAGCTGGTCAATTGGAGATTATGAGAGAAATTTAAGACAAAACTTGTATGGCAACCACGGCTGAGGCTCTCAAAGGAAGCTGTTTACTTGCCTGGTTGGGCGTTGGGCGTTGTGCTTGGGACTTACCAAGTAAGAAACAGCTCTAATGAAAAAATTAACTAGCTTCGAATGATCAAAGCATTTCGAGGGCTTACACAGGGGAATTTATCGCTGCTCAACTGGTGGCAAGTAAGACATGTGATGGTACACGCTCCAGTACTTGACTAAGATGAAGTCTGCATAGCAATTGTCTAACTGAAGAATAACAAAGCAGAGGGAGTCGATCGCTTGCTCGCTTGCCTGATGGTGATCCATCAGGAAATGAGGGAAACATTCTCTTAATCATTTTTAAAGCAACTTCCAATAGCACGAACAGGAGCTGCCTCCACGCTGTTAAGTATGAGTTTGGTAGAGCCTCGTTTGTGAAGAGTCTCGCCAAGTCGTTTCATGTTTAAGAAGTTTCTAGTAGCAAGGTAACTCTCTATCGTGTGGCAATATTAACTTATTCCCATAGAAAATAATACGAGCTGCCGAGCTGAATAAAGATAGTACAATACTCTATAAGAGCGTAGCAGCTGTGGCAATAGCTGACATTACCGGCTTCAGCAACGGTGCAACCAGCATCAACACCAACTAACATGTTATCCTCATGTCTGGTGCTGCCTTGTACTAGGTAGGTAAATGAAAGTAAACTTCCTTGTAGTCGAAAAAATATCAAACCCTATGAGCAGCTTATAATTTTCGTCCTGGTCATCCAAACTTCTGCATCAAAAGCTTTTATTTTGACAATATTACATATGTCGATTATGGAAGTCTTCAGGAAAGAGGTTTTGGGCGATGGCTATATGAGTTACCTGGCGACATTGGCATAGTTCAGCGAATTCAGAGACAGCGGCTACATGGCTGGAATCGTCGACAGTCCTCCAGTATGAGCTACATACAGTTCCCGCTGATAGGAGCAAGGGAAGAGGAAGACCTCCGCCACAGGGGAAAGATCAGTTGGAGAAGAATCTGGCTTCACATTTTCAATTTGTTCTCCAATTGGCACGAACGGCTAAGAATAGAGACATGTGGACTGCTATTGTTTGCACGGTTAGTCACGGGTTCGAGGCTTTTTTTCAATTGTGCACCTCCGCAGAGAATGTAAAGCCCACTGAGTACATTTCTGACATGAAGTAAAATATTGCTCATAACAACTAATCAGGCGTTCGGAGGAGGCTTAGAGTAAATTATAGGTCTTTCCATTTGTTGGGAGCACAACCATAAATTGGAGGGGGAGCTCCGCTGAAAATCGCTTCTTGCACCAGCCCTAGCTATCCGTAAGTTAAATAGAAAAAAAAAGAAGAAGAATACGAAGAAGAAAAAGAAGAAGAAGAATACGAAGAAGAAGAATGCGAATAAGAAAAAGAAGAAGAAATATACAAAGAAGAAAAAGAAGAAGAAGAATACGAAGAAGAAAAGGAAGAAGCATACGAAGAAAAAAAGAGGATGAATACTACGAAGAAAAAAAGAAGAAGAATACGAAGAAGAAAAAGAGGAAGAAGAATACGAAGAAAAAAAGAGGAAGAAGAAAAGAGGAAGAAGAATACGAAGAAGAAAAAGAATACGAGGAAGAAAAAGAAGAAGAAGAAAAAGAGGAAGAAGTATACGAAGAAGAAAAAGGAGAAGAAGAAGCATACGAAGAAAAAAAGATGAAGAATAATACGAAGAAAAAAAGAAGAAGAATACGAAGAAGAAAAAGAGGAAGAAGAACACGAGGAAACAAGAAGAAGAAGAAAAGAGAATGCAGAATACGAAGAAGAAAAAGAAGAAGAAGAATACGAGGAAAAAAAAGGAGAAGAAGAAAATATATTAAATGTCTGTCTACGCTAAATCCATTTCAAAAATATGAAATTGCAGTTATTTTTGAATTTTTGGCGTAGGTCGCTCGTTCGAACGGAAATAGTCAATCAATTTCATTCATTCAAATCCACTAAAGCAATTTGTTGAAAAAAAAAATCAGATCAATGAAAGTATAAAAGATTTACGCAGGTGATTAATATTTATTTGACGTTAAAGTAAACAAAAGAGAAGTGAAAAAAATTAAAATAAAATAAAATAAATAAAAATAAAAAAATTGAAAAAAAAATAAAAAAAAAGAAAAAGGATGCAACAACAACTGCGTAATAATGTGTGAATTTAATTTACGTCTTACCTTTTTCCGCCAACCAAAATCTAGAGAAAAGAGCAGCAACAAATTTGTAGAATTGTAGCACGCAGAACTACGCCAGTGAACTTTTTCTATATGTTTGTATGTATGTATATATGTATGTCTAGTGCTTGAAAACAACCGTTGCCACAGAAAAAACAATAAGAACAACAAACTCAGCAACAGTAGTAACAACAACTTGTAAACACCTCAACCAGCGACGCGCGAGCAACGCACGCGATGCTAACGAAACAGACAATAACAAATTGCCACATAGAGAAAAATAGAAAGGCAAACAGACGAACAAAGAAAGGCGAGGAAGAAGCATCGATAGAACTAAAAAGGCAGATAGGAAGAATGATAGTGGATATGAAATTAGTAGAGGAAAATTGTGAAAATGTGGAAAATTGGATTGCACAAAATAAAAGTTTTCTCGGTTGCAATGCGCTTGCCGCTGCTCCCTGATACTGCATGCCGCTGCTCCCTGATGCTGATGCTGTTTGCTGATAATAAATTTTGGACTCAAGCATTTTCGGAGCTAATTTATAGCCAACAACCGAGGTTGTGGTGGGCAAAAACGACAGTTGAATTGGACGTGTGCGGAAGCCACTGACGTATGGAGGGGGAAAAAAACAACGAAAGGAAAGAAAAAATTAATGCAGTTATGCTGCTGAGGCAATGGATGCCAAAAGAAATTAGAAGAATAGAAAATAAACGAAAAAAATGTAAGTAAGACAAGAAATTAAAGAATAAATTAAATAAATTTACAAAAATATTTAAGAAAACTCCAAAGAGAAAGAAAAGTGGTTTTTGCTGCTTTTATGATAGAAGAAAATACATTTGATACGTCAAAAATAAAAATTAAATTACATTAAAAAATTAAATAAAAAAATATGAAAAAATAACAAAAAATAAAAATTTAAAAAATCCAGCAAAAAAAGAAAAAATCCTAAATTTTATTCCTTGCCAATTACAGTTAAAATTTGTAGGCAAAAGTTAATTGTTTTCAGCGCGCACAAATACATATACACATACTCGTACAAGCAGATACAAATTAGCCCACCAACAGTTAAGGCACGGGACAGGCGAATCTAGTTCGGTGGCCCGTTGTTGTGGTTTTACACCACATTCAACGCTAACGATTTTTTTGTAGTCCAGTGAGTAAGAGACCGAGACCACAGGCTTAGTAACCGAGGCGTTGAACTGAGCGCGCGCGACCGACCGACCGACCGATCGACCGACAAATTGACGTCGAAACCAAGCACTGCTGCTTATTTGTTGGTAAACCAAAATGGCAGGCGACACTGAACTTTTCCTTGTGGCTTGGCTAACTAACAGTTTTGGTGAATAACTGTAGCCGAGATTTTTTTGTTTGTACTCATGCACACATATGTGTGGGGCAAAAATAATAAAAAAAAAATTGAAAACACGTTTAGTTGGCAACACTGCGCGCATGTGGTTGATAGTCAATGCAGCGGCGTCAAGAAGAAGAAGACGGCAATTTTTTTTTTTTATTATTTTCGCGATGTTTATACGGCGTAGCGTCTTTTTTTAACTTTTCAAAGAAATAATCTAATTCTGTATAATTTATTTCAAAATAAAGATTCCATTTTTTTATTTTTATTATAAATTTGGTTATATTATTTTTTTTTTGATTTTTCCTAGTAAGGCACTTATTTTTGAATAATATTTTTTAGTTAATTTATAATTAAGTTTAAAATATTTATTTAGTTTTTTTTTTGGATATACATAAAAATTAAAAATTTTAATTATTTGAAATTAAATTTAAATTTTATTAGAATATTTTTTATTTAAATTTTTTATTTATTTTTTGATACTTTTTTTTTAGTAATTATTTAATTTATATTTAATAAAATTCGTTTTTATTAACTTTGATATTCATATGTTTATTTTTTATCTCTCTTTTTTTGAATTTAATTTTTTTTTCAAATCATTAAGTTCAAAGTAATTCACTTAATAATTGAAGCGATATGAACATGAGCTCAATCTCCATTTATGTTGACAATCCTTAGGAAGCTTTCTTGACAACGTTACCTTGGGTGTTGTTCATAAACTGATAAATATGAGTAATTGTGAAGATATTTAGAACTATACTGAACTGTTTTAATGAGATGCTGGAAAAAAGTAGGGTTCTTCTGAAACCAACCAAATAAAAAAAAAAACAGGTTATAATTTAATGACTACATATAACAACGGAAGTGGAGCGGAGAGTAACACTTGAAAGTTTTTTAATTAATAAATTTCAATTATTTATTTACCATTTGTATTAACTTTTCATGTTTTAATTTAATTAATAATAAATTAATTAATTTAAAAAAAATATTTTTTGTTTATTTAGTTCTTATTTATTTTGTTTTTTATATTTTTTTATTATTATTTTAATTTTATTTTTTGTGAATTAAATTAAGTTTGTACATGGACGAAATATCTGACGACACTAAACTTTTTATTGCTAGATTAATTTGCACTAAAACTGTGGTCGAAGTACGCATATATGTATATATATCATGATAAGTTGGCAACACCGTTGAAATTCCACAGACAAACAATGCCACTGTGGCGCCACTAACACCAAAACATACACGCTTGCGGGTTTTCCAATTGTATTTCGGTGTATGCTAGCTTAGCCAAAAAGTTGTTTTTGGTGTTAGAAAAATATTTCAAAATATATATAAAATATATAAATATTATTTATTATTTATTATTTATTATTTATTATTTATTATTTATTATTTATTATTTATTATTTATTATTTATTATTTATTATTTATTATTTATTATTTATTATTTATACTTTATTTTTCATTATTTATTATTTATTATTTATTATGTATTATTTATTATTTGTTATTTATGATTTATTATTTATTATTTGTTATTTTGATTTATTTATTTTATATTGTTCCAATATGCAATAATGATAATATTTTTTGTGAAGATTTGTTCCACGCTCTATCCTTTTTTTGTTTTATTTTATTTATGTCGACTTCAGCATAAACCAGAGATCCTTTTAGAACTTTTATTTTACTTTGGATTTTTTTTCGTTTTTTTTATATTTTTCAATTTGAATTTTTTTTATTTCAATATACCGCACTTCAAATATTTACTCAACACGTGTTCCGCTCTCACGTTCATTAGCCGCACAACTAAATTGAATAATTCGAAATTTCGAAAAAGATGCCAAGAATCGCATTAACCGCGTGCTGTTGCCAAGAGAGGCATGTGTGTGTATTCTACTTTTCTACTTTATTTTTTTTTTCCTCTTCAGCTCTTGTCAGTGCTATCTGTGTTCCGCCATTGCATTGACTATTGGCGACTATGGCGCGCGTATTTATCATTTTTTTTTGGCATTTCTCAGGCAGTCAGTCGTTTTCTGCCACTGTTTTGAACTTTGTTTTGTCCGCCTTTCAGATGCATCCAAATTATTTCTTTTGTATTCTCTCTCTACTCGCTTGCAGGCTGGCTGCCGCTGCATTTCAATTTTTTTTTTCGTTTAAGCAAAAAGACACTAAATGTTTCCTTTTATTGCCAAATTTGACTTTTCTGGCAGTAATTTTATGTATAGATTTTTGTATGTAGGTGTATGCTGTGTTTATTGGCATTGACATTCTGTGCTGTGAAGGACAAAATGACATTACGGTATCGCCATGTTAAGTTCAAGGTCTTCTTCTACATTTATTGAGGATTTTTATATTATGGAAGAAGACTTTCGATTGAAGAAAGTCAGTAAAATATAATAAGTGAGTCTCAAAGAGATTTTTTTAAGCAGTTTTCTGGAGTAAAATTGTTTTGGACAGCGACACTTCAGGCTAGCAATAATTTATGATTAGGGTCACCCATTTGATGACTATCCCAGCTGTTTTCAGAACGAACGAGATTTCTGATTTTCCAATGTGTTTTTTCGGAACCCATGATGAGATTTAGTACGACTATTCCAGAAACCAATATAAGCAGAAAATTCTCGATAAGCAAAGGAAGGCCCAACGAAGCGAGAAAAAGTATTTGGGCCTTTAGTGTGTAGTTCTTTACCACTAGGCGGGTGTCTAAGTCGGCATTATTAGTAGACATTCAAGCATAAGACTTACCCTTCTTGGGCATTGAACCTATGTAGAGCCATGTCGTTAGATCCAATAATAATCGTTTGGTCAACCCTTCTGTTCTCTTAAACTTATCTACTTCTTTTCCTCTAAAAAGGGCATTGCTTCCCTCCGCATATCTCATGGGAGCTCACTCCTATTTTTGAAAAGACCAGCGCTTGTCGTATAAGCTTTTAGTCTGACCCATCCTTAAGCCACGCTTACTTAGAACACAGTAAAAGAGTGGTCCAAATGGCTAAACATGACAACGCTTTCATAGAACTGGTATGCCAATTTTCTAGCTATACGCTCATTCTATTACTTCAATGCGCAGAGATGTCTTCTGCCTGCATTGGAATCCGCCATGTAGATCCCAGCTCCAATGAAAAAGAGACAGCAACAACGGATGAGAGATCAGTCTTTTGATGACGATCATGGTGAATGTATTAAGCAAGAGGAGAGAAGAGGAAGTCATTGTTAGATGATTCAGAGAGATGTTGTACCCAATCAAATGTAGGTTTTGTAGGCGAGTGTAATATACACACATATATGTATGTGTATATAACATTTATCCTCTCTGCATTCAAAACTCTTAATTTCGAAAAATATTTGAGAAAGAATGTTGAAAAAAAAATGCAAAAATAGAACTCAATTATTTTCTCTCTCTTGACATCATTTATATTGAGAAAAGGGTTGCCAAGAAAAAGTATTTTTACTTTAATTTGGGTAGTTGTTTTTGATGATATTGACATTATCGATCTCAACAACCGCGCCGTTAGTTCTGCTTTCTCTAGGCTTGACAACGAAACTCGGATAAGACGAAATATCTGCTGTCATCAAACGAATAGTCATCGCATTCGCGACTCGGCTCCCGCGTCACAGTTGACTGGGATATCTTCGAGGACGTAAATAATTTCTTCTATCTAGGAACCAGCAACAATACTAATAATAGCGTTAGCCTGGAAAACCAACGCAGAATCACTCTTGCCAACAGGTACTACTTTGGACTGAGTGGGCAATTGGAAAATAAAACCTCTCCCGATGAACGAAAACCAAACTCTACAAGTCGCTCATCAAACCCGTCCTATTATGCGACACAGGGGCGTTGACGTGTCGGCTTTGGAAGTCTTCGAGCGAAAAATTTCGCAAACGATTTACGGTAATTTGCCCGCAGATGGTGGAGCGATGAGCTGTATGAGCTAAACCATGATATTGCAGTAGTTTAGCGAATCATGAGGCTGCGTTATTTCATCCTTGGTCGGTTAGGCGGAGATGGGTAAAGCAGGGCTCGTCGTAAAAAAAGCACTTCAGCCTAAAAATTAGTCGACGCAATAAAACGGCAGAGGAAGTGTAAGACCTCCACTCCGGTTGAAAGTTCAGGTGTAGAGTTACGTGGCTTCACTTGATATTTCCAACTGGCGCCAAACAGCGAAAAGAAGAGTGGAAGGGCGCGTTAATATTGATTCGCCAATAATCGTGCCAGCGGTGTCAACGCTAATAAAGAGGAAGAAGAGAAGTTGTTTTTGTATTAAATTTAATTGTATTATTGTCTAGAATGGGAAAAATTTTGAGATTCTAATGCATGAAAATATACTATTTTAGTCAT